TGGGTGGTCGAGTGCAAAGGTGCCAAGATCGCTAAAGTCTTGGGTGTCGTACACGGGAGTGAAAGGCATTGTAGTCATTATGTTGAATAAGAATGTTTTTCGAGGTAGTCGTTGAATGTGTATCGAGTTTGCTGTTAGTTTTGAATTCTGGGTTCAGAGATTATGTTTATTACGTTTCGTTTTAGAGTATTATCGTATCTGTTTGGTTTTTTTCCTTAGGAAAAGAAAAACACGTGAATGGTTGTGTTGTTGGTCGTGTTTTTCTTTGAGTTTGTTCTGATTTGTTCGTTAGTTATTGAAAGAGTCAGTTGAGTGGAGGTTGGAATCCTTATAGTGGCTCTTATTTGACTTTTGTCAAGTCTGTTGTTGACGGATTGAAAGAGAGGAGGAGAAAAAAAAAAATTTTCTTCTGCTTCTTTTGTCCAAAAAGCGTTTTTGATTGATTAGTTATAGTCGTGGTGAAGTGAGACAGTTTGTTTGAAAGCGATAATGAGGGGGAGAAATCGAAAGTTTGTTCGTCGATGTACGATATAGAGTCAATATGTCATAAAGCGTTCGTTTGAGTAAAAGTAATGGGGAAGTTATTTAGATAGAAATCGTTAAGTCGGCGTTATAAGCGTAGTTAATTAAATCGAAGCGTAGAAAGATATGTTTGATAAAAAGTTTGGGCGATGTCTGAGACAAAGTTTAATTTTTTTTGATTTTTTTTTTCGGAATTATTCAATAAATGGCATACGACAAACCGAGAGGAGCTGGGTATGCAAAATCGTCACAGATTTTGGGCAGGTCGATAAATTCGTTACTGACGCCTATATTTATACGAATGGAGAACGCGGGTTAAAATAGGTCTGTAATAATTAGATTGAAGTCTATTGTATTTTTTTATACTAACTGATTAGTTTTTATATTACATTGATTGATTACATTTACTGATTATACACATCCTATTGTATGTTGTATTATTGTATATATTTACTATTATTATAATTGTTATTATAAATTAATTCTGTATTACATGCGTACTTAGCTGACGTCACCACGTAGCACCACTGGTTAATTAAAATGCAGACACAGAAAGACAATCATTCGTATTTTAATACTAATAATAAAAATCACCAATTACATTTATACATGGGCGATTGTACCAATACTGTTGCGTTGTCTTATGTTCATGTATCATCTCAATATTCCATTATGAACACATGACTACATAATAATATATTGCTGCCGCGTCAAATGCTAGTCATGCCCAAGCCAACATATTATCAAGAGAGAAGAGGGAGGGAGGGGGAGGAGAGAGGGAGAGGGAGAGGGGAGGAGAGAGAGGGAGGGAATGTACATCAACATCGATTCGGTCATTTGTTGTTTGTTTCTTTCTTTTTCTCCTCCCCAAACATGTCGTATGAAACACATCCGACATTAATTATCTTTTGATCAAATATAGAGCACAATAACAAGAATGTTGCAATGGAGCTTATATATTATAATGTATGTAATATAATGTGCAAGTATTTCCATGCTATTGTTCGCTACATTCATCGCTAAACATAGGGACAATAACTTTTTTCCCCATCTTGTCGAGACAACGTTTTGACGTGTTTCCTACCATTGCATTGCTCTTGCATTTCGACATTATACTACCATTACTATAATGTATTTTTACCCCAAAGAGTGTGATGAAACAAATAGTATATAATCAAATCCATATAAATAGCATCCCAACCAATGAGATGTTATCGACATCAAAATATATATAACAATCAAACATTAATAATAATAGTAAAACAACAGACATATACACACAATAGCACTCGATAGTAATGGAAGATTGGCCGCATAATTGGTATCTTGGCTATATGCTATCTTTTGGTTAACAACAGAAACAGATAATCACTAATATACAGCCTTTTTTTATTTATGCGTGTGACTAGTGACATGTGGCATTGGCGGGTAAACTCGAGTTAAACAGTGAACCAGCCACAACAAATACGATCTATTATCATCTTTTACTGTATGCATGCGTGTGTTATCGGCATAATGGAAAACCAACCAACGCACAAAAACAATAGCAAAAGGACATCTCCATTGATTAAGAGGAAGGGGGCGGCGTACTAGCGGATCATGGCCTGCGCATCGGACATTCCACTAATAAAGATTATTATTACATAAACTATATCATAAGGCATGTTGCTTCATCTTCCATATTGGTCAATAGAAATTGTTACTTTAACTTCTACTAGTATATATCGAGCAGTTATGTGGCGCTAACGTCCTGTTATTATCTTATTGTTTTCACGTAAAGAAATTCCTTATCATTCAACTCACATGCAAAAAACCTTGCTCCTCTTTGCTCAAACTAGTTAAACATGTCCGGATTGCCCAACAGATCCACAAGACAAAAAGCGTATGTTTCTGTCTTTAGCAATGCATCTCGGAAAAAGTAACACAGTCATCTGTAAAAGACGCTGGCTGCGTAACAGAGATACAATGAAAAAATCGCTACCATTGATCATGTATCAGTCCAGTGTTCGGAATAAGAGTTTAGTGATGTTTACTTAATCGGGACAAATGGTCAAGTGATGGGTGATGATGAGTGATGGTCGTAGCAATGAATGCAATGGCAGTGATGCAGACAAGTATTTACTGTACAGTTATCATCTCCTTTCCCCCCATTCTGGTATTAATTTTAGACCCTTGACACGAAGCAATAGCTTATTTGAGGAAATAGGTGTGGTGGGGAAAAGATATTTGGATTATTTTTGGAGCATTACAACCGAATATATCGGGAAATAAACTTTCTATTTTGACGGCTCTTGAGAACTTAATAGGTAATACATCAGGCTGTATCAGAATATATTATAATTATAGGCAATTGGTTGGTGTAATATATTAAACGCAAAATACTAATATAACAATTATTGACTAAACACAAATGAATATACATAACACTTTTTTTCATACAACTTATCCCGAATACCAAATTAATTATTGTTTGTTGTGTGATTCACTTGGAAAAAGTCCCTACATGTTGCACCATTACTATATTGTCATTTGGGATACACTCTTTATTAGATTATTGGCGTCAATAATGAAAAGATCGTTAGTCGAGGTAATATACAACATCTTCATGTGTGTGCATTTAATATGAACGTTTGTATGCATGTGATAGATAGTCTGGACGTGGATGTAGGTCGATTTGCACGTTTTGTTGCGGATGTTTGACTCGTTTGTTTATAAATATGTTCATCTATATCGATGTTTACTCTTTGTTCTAATTACCCACTCTAGTGGGACTAGTAGTGATTATAGTCTGGAACTAGTGGTGATTGTAGTCTGTCATAATTCATCATTGACTTCCATATCGGCATATGATCTTGCTAGCTTCCGGGTTTGTCGTGTTTTTCTTGGTTTACATTCCTGGCAAAGTGAACATTGATGCAGTCATTTTGAAAAGCGAATGACATTACGTACAACAATACGAGATAAAAACCAGTCCTCTGCTCTTTTTAATTGGATTGATTCTTCCTTCATAACATTCAGATATTGCACCATCTGCAAGATGATCGTTTATACGAATGAACAACACATGCAATTCATTACAATATTACTTTGTATATTTCGTAGGCAAAAGTGCATTTGATATATTGGTCTATAGTTTTGATACTAAAGATGGACATATTAAATTCGCCAATGATGTAAAAATAGACTTTGCGTTTTGCAGATCGTGCATCCAAATAGGATACTCAAAACGTAACGGGGAAAAAGAAAAATTCTATCCGGTACGTTGGGCATCTTAATTCGAACACTGTATATCGGTGTTATTGTGTGGTAGGATCTATACGCTGTACTATTAGCAGTGTATTTTATTGCTATTACTTGCCTTTTATGAACAATAAGAAATTACATATACATTCCAGGTCTTACGTGGTACAACGTATGTATGTTGAGTCATATTCACCTAGTGAGAAACTTCTTTATTAATACACGAGATCATCCGATGTCCGTCACCCCCCCCTATATTACATCACACTTCCATATTAGATTCTTCAATTTGCAATTTTGATGACGTACAAATTGTTAATCTTAGAATACAATAAGCCAAAGACTATAAATAATAATCCTTGTCTTAAACAAGTAACTTTTGGGAATACGAAGGAATAGCAACAAGACGGGTAGAAGGTTGGCAGAATCGTGGATAGAAGCCGGGTGTCTATGATGTAAAAAGTGACAGCCGAGAATTATAGAATCATGGGTAGAAGCCGTGTGTCTCTATGATGTAAAAAGTGACAGCTGATAATGATAATAGAATCATGGGTAGAAGTTGCGTGTGTGTATATGTATGTGTATGATATGATGTAGATACTATGATGTAGATATCTGACAGCTGATAATGATGAACCTTGGGTTATCGAAACAAGTCTGAATGAAATCTATATTATACGCAATCAAATGATCAAATAAGAAGCAATCGTAAAAAAGCATTGCTTATTGGGCGCTGTATTATTAATGAATTTTTAACGTCAGTAGTTTGGCTAAAAATAAGTAGTAACATGCATCGATCTGTTTGAATATTACTGTTACAAATTGGGTAATGAATCGGGCAGACGAATAGCCGAATTGACACAAAGACTAAGTAAACCGGCAAACAAGTGTTACGGTAGCGAGTGGATCCTACTTGTAAAGCTCATCTGCACTAGCGTTATTGTGATGTAGTATCGATTATGCTAATGGCAATAATATGATCATTAATATCCGTCCGTCCGTCCACCCAATCCAAATGTAGTACTCTTCTCCGTTAAACCACTTGTGCTTTAAAATGATCCATTTAACAAAAAGCGATGGCGAACAGCGGTTGGGGATGGGAGTGCGGCAGGTGGAAAGGCCAACTATCGTCAGCTCGTCTTGATTAGGATATGTAGGATGATGCGAACGTGAATTATTATAACTTTATCGTGGGACGCCGACATCGGACCGACCCTTGGGGAACAACAGAATCACTTCTATTGTAGATCTTTGAATGCTAGAGATAGATCAACAAAAACAGTTTCAACTGGTGGAGAAATTAAACCTAGTTTCTCCGAAGTGCCTACATGTTTATTTGCGGGCGTAACTTCATAATGAAAAAATAAACAAACATAAATGATAAAACGTAACATGTAACAATGCAATTAACAAATGAAACATCGGGCGAATCCATACGTTACCAATAACATAGACCAAAATTATTGTCTATATACTGCTCATCTCTTGTATACCATTTCCAAGAAACGCCATGCAATGAAACTAACGTCCTCTTGGTTCGTAACGTGCATACTATTAAACCAATAGCATAACGGTAATACATAGCATTCTGTTTATTTTATATTTAGTCTTTTTTTAAAAAGCCGACGTTTGACAAACCAAAGTCTGGTACTATTTTCCGTCGTTTTGGTAAGGAATATTACGATACGCTGCCTTTTCCCCCCACCCCTCGCCCAACGGTAATGGAAATTCTACGCTCACTGGTCCGACTGCCGTAGTTTGATAATCATGAGATACACACCGGGATGTAAATACAAGTTGAGACATTTTCATTATTCATCATTGTATTTGTGCTTAGGTCATCGTCCCAGTGAGGATTGGGGATCAGCGCAATGCTCTCAAAAGCGGTTAATCCAATCAAATCCCGATTTATAATCGTTTTTGGGCTTGATTCATTCACAAAGGCGCACAGTCATGTTTGGTAAAAGACAATGCAAACACCGTATGTATAGTGACCAAAGTGTCAAAAATAAAAGCCCAAGCCACAGTGTGTTACTATTGGGGCAATTCGGCGGAACGAATAGTTTTATTGAGCAGGATTTTTAGTGACAACAGCCATGACTCGACGAATCGCTGCATATCGTATCCAACAAAAACAGAGAACAAACGAGACCCGATCCTGCGAATAGCAAGGAAGGGAAAAAAAAAGACAAGGGATTGGGCAGAAAGCCGTAAAGAAAGAAAACAGAGCGATATATGGAAAAGAACCAACGGTGCACAGTTTTGGGTATCTGCAAGATAATATTATCTCAATTTAAACAGATCTCATTGTAATTAAAATGGGCTGGATATCATTTGAAGTATCTTTTTATACTGCTATGCTTTACCGATAATTAAAATCTGAAACCAACAAGTGAACAATCAATGCCTGTATCAGATTCCGATTTGTGTGACATTGCGCTTTAGGATACCACATGGTTGTTTCCCAAACTTCAACATGAGAACGAGGTAAAATCACGTGGTCTTGGATTTACATGTGGTTGTTTCTTTTTCTTTTTTCTTTTCTTTGCTCTTTTTGATTGCACAGTCGTTATCGCTGTTTCCCATTGATTTGTCATTGCAGTTGCTCACATCCGTCAATAACAAATCACTCGCATGCGCACACACACTCACGCATCCTCGCACACACTCCGCACCCACACAAAAAACATTATGTAGCAAGTATGTTAATTACTTATTTTTTTTATTCTAAACGCCTGGTAACATAAACGTTTTCCCATCTTGCCTTTCATATCCTTCATTGGATAAACTTAATGCAGTTGGTACAGTCAGGCTTATGAAACATCTGCCCACGTTGTCCACGCGATTATTACTTGCTCACTGTCTTACACCTACCAATATAATAGAAATATATTAATGTAACAAACTATTGAGCTAATTTCCCACTCATTGTTTCATATGCAGCTATGCTCTCGGCAATAAATATGGTAACATAATGGAAACTGAGAACATTTCATTTTATTTGTTTAATTTGTGAATTATGAAAGACTGCAGATAAGCGAGAAATGCACGAGTTTGACAGGAATGCATTCAAATGTTTTAAGCAACTGGTGTAGCAGTAATGCCGTGTATTTGTTGAGTGGAAGGACTAGTTTTACCAATTATTTGTCTGACTATTCTGAAAACATACGATCCTGTCGGAAATTTGATGATAAATTGATGACAAGATCAATTGTAATGGATATAATGATGAGGTAATAACTATACGTGCACTGTTATTGGTTATGCTCTTGTGGAACGGTGTATGACCTCTTGCATGTACAAATTAGAAGACCTTTAATTGAACACAACGTGTCACAATTCGTCAGCCGCAAATCATGTGTCGTTGTAATACATGAGATAGAAGTCATGTTTTATCCATGTGATAGTAGTGATCATGGCCATATTGTTTGGCCTGATTGTTTGGTCAAAAAGAAAAAGAGCAAGAGCAAAGAAAGAAATAAAAGAAAGATCTATGCAATAAAATTCCGCAAATCCGGGAAATTACATACACGGCAGTAAATAAATTCTTAATTCTGACTTGATAAAACCCGTTTGCAACGTCAAGACTCCTGAATGCATGACTCATTCGTGTTCAAATGAGGGTTAGTTTAACAATTATGATGCAGGAAAGTTGATCCGGAGCTACGATCCCAAGCAGCGACGGTTAACAACTTGGCGCTAAATTTGGTTGGATAATCATTAAATTTACAAAAGAAGCAGTAATAGATGACTTTCTTGGTCACAGGACGTCAAAGGTTTCAAAGGCGTAAGATGAGGCAATTTAGAATTTAGATGAGAATGTTTCAGAATCTTTACTTGCAAAAAAATAATAATAAGCCATTTTAACCATGCTCTATTTATAACTGAAGGCGTAAACATGCATCTTTATTAAACGTTAGATCGAGGAAAAAGTAACGTTTAAACATCCGTGTCAGCCTGGATAATTTTTATTAAGTTTCAAAGTTCCCAACATGTAAGCGATTTTATGTTAACAATAATAAAATTGTCTTTTTGTCATCATAAATTACAGCGTGTTTGGTATCAGGTGACGTGATTCTAAACGCCAAGTGTAGTGAGAAAAAAGTATTTGTGTATTGGCAAGATTTAAATGAACACTTGACTATGTGGGTTGAAAATGGCTGATGTGGCAGAAAAATCAACCAATGACTGATGACAGTTTTGCTTTAGTGGCAAAGCTGTGGCTCAGACATGGATTTATTGAAACTGGCACAGGTGCTTACAAAAAATTATAATAAGTTTGATATAGAATTATGTCTATATAAAATAATATGAAACTCATTTACATTAAATCCACCATGGAACCAAAGAATTACTGCACCATCAGAAGAGCAGGGTGAAAAAATTGCTCCATATACGTTTAAGATAAATGATAGCAAAATTCTCGAGGAATATCTAGATAAAGAAAAAATTACTTATAAAATTTATCAGAAAGAACGAAAAATAAACAATGATGAACCAAGGAAAAAACAAAAAATTGAATATAAATTCAAATAACTGTTTTTTATTATTGTTAAATAATTATCGATACTCGGGACAATTTCCATGATTCTTTATATACTGTTCGAGTAAGAATAGCAATAAATACGACAACACGTTTTCGCTTAAAAAAACAAATTACGATCGATCGAATTGCAACCGTATTATCTAAAGCATAATTTTATTATCTACAAAAATCAAATAACAATCCCACTCAGAATGTTCACTTTCACTGTTGAAATCTGCAAGTTACTGCTTATCACTGGTACTTTGCTTTACCATAAAACTCATGATAAGTCTGAATTATAACTCAAACGCGATAAAATTGAATCAAAATACCAGCTGCTCATTGAGCGAAAATATTTATCAAGTATAACATGTTTGTGGGAAAGTCTTAACAAGTTACTTGATAAAACTTCTCAGCTGGGCTCAGTAAATGGTTATAAAATACCACAAAGTGCGCGGAAGAAAAAGCACTATCGCTTTTATTCCAAAAAGCCAATTCTCGAGAAAAACGATCGAAGCGCTTAAAAAATGGGTAGATAAAGAAAAAGGGGAGGAGAAGACGTTAATAGCATTTATAATAATAAATGGCATAGATTTCACAAAGTGTAGGGATACTCATCAATGGCTTTGGGCACGCGTTCACAATCATAGGACCGCCCACCAATACTCATCCTCTGTCATAAATGCACTCTTTGGGCGTTGACTTGGTTCAATTTGTGATAAGTGGAAGATGATCGAGACGGGCTGTCCAGTGCAGTGGCCATCAAATTGATGTCGAAAACTTAGCTAATGCAAAAATTTTCTTTACGAGCTTTGCATATATTACGTATACCCCATCAAAAGAAGATCTACTTCAGTTTTTACTTCGTAGTACTGCAATAATATGCAAACAAAATCAGAAGGGTATTGATTTTATTATACGTGTACTGTTGGCAGATGAAAATCAATATATTTATGAACGTTTTATTTCGTACATCCTCTTCTCTATAAAAAATAGCAAATATGACAATCAATATGCAGAATCAACCACCTCAAAATTATCATCTATTTTCGTTGAAAAAAAAAAGGCGACAGCAGGGGCTTCTCAGAAAGTTTATAGATTAAATATCATTAGTTACAATTAGAAAGAGTGTTAATATACTGTGAATAGACTGTTTCTGTGATTTAAGGAAAGATAAACTAGTTAAAACTCTGATGATAATGTAAATAATGGTACAGAGTTATGTTGGTAAGTTGGAACAGCAAAATAAAGATTTAAAACAGCAAATAGCCAGTGCTAATACTAAGGGAGAAATCAGTTCTCACTTGGAAGCTTTAGAAGTTTTAAAGAATTGGCATAATAACCAAAAGCAAGAATTATTAGATAAAATTCAAAGACTTGACAGTGAGGTCAAATTCCTAAGGAAACAGCAGACTCAACAAGTTGCTCAAATCGAAGTTAAAGAGCCTAAGAAATGACTTTAATTAAAGTTAAAATAGTATATAGTTAAAAATTAACAGAGTTAAAAACAAAAGTGGATTATTTTTCTTAAAAGTTTAGTCTGATAGGTTTTTTTCCTTTCTTGATTGTTGGTTAGAATTTTCTTGCATTTTTTTGAAAACTCTTTCTTCTTGATAACTTCATAAGTAATTTTTTCTTTATCTAAATAGTTTTGGTTTCTGTTAGTTTGAAAATGTAAGGTGCACTGTTCTTTTTTGTAATTCTTGGGTTTCGTAGTGGATTTTATATAAATTAGTTTCATATTTATATGCTGGGACTCGCCTAGAATCCGCGTACTCCCTCCCTCTTTGATAGCATCATATATTTCACTAATATTTACTGAAAATTTAATAAAGTTTTATCAAAAAAGTAAATCAATTTTTTATTTGTTTTTATCTTATTGCGGGATTTATTGTATTATACAGACATTTATGCAAATGGTGTGTTTGATAAATTAATATTTTTAAACTATTATTCCGAGAACACGAGCTGGGGTAATATACTGTATATGAGCACACTAATCTAACTCATAATGTAATTTATGCGACAGACTCCATGTTAAACCTATACTTACAAACTCTAGCTGAATAAAAACCAGAAAAAAGAAACCTTATGTTGGGAATGAAGGTAAGCTCTCAAACTTGCGGACTTGCTTTCGACAGTGGACTGATTCTCCTTATTGGTTTTCTAGCTGTTTTAAAATATTTCGAAAAAAGCATGGACTTGCGAACAATTTTTAAATAAATTAAAAGAAGCAATTATAACTTCGTCACCATATACTAACGACAGGAGCGGTTTAGATGGTGCATGGTATGGTCGTTATATTTATCACGCCAATAAGGTAAGGAAAGGTTTTGTGCTATACAAGATTTGCTAAACTTCCAAAAAGCTTTCTGGGTTGTAGTTATACTTTTTGGTATAGTGCGATCCAGAGGTTTTGCCGTAGTTTTCGGTACCCAAGTAATGAGTATGGACCTTTCTGGGCCGTAGTTATATTTATAATATAGCGCGATACGAGATTCTGGGTCGTAGTTACATTTGATGTAGTGCGATCTGGAGGTTGTGTTGTGGTTATATTTTGATATAGTAGTAGTGCGATCCAGAGGTTTTGCCGAAGTTTTCGGTGCTCTCTCGTTGCGACTCATTAATAGGATGAAATAAATAAACCTCGAATGAAATCATTTTTCCAAGACATTATTAATATTCTTACAATAATTATACCAAAAAATAAAATTTTTTATTGACTATGTTCCTTATCCTGTCCAAAACAGAAAAATGCGGGGAAAAAACTACGCAAATAAAGGCGTAAGAGTTCTCAATGAAGCAAGGTTTCGCAGTTCAGATGAAGTGATTTCTAAACGATATCCTAAGGATCAAGCCAGTGGAAACGAAGATGCTTCGCACAAACGGCCGGACAGAAACGGGCTATCACAAACTCCATGGATCCAGATGTCGCGTACATTTTTGACTTGGTTAGATATTAATATACGTACTATAGGTTCATTTGAGTTTTGGAGTCCTTTATTGGTCATACATGGGGGTTGGACCTTATTTTCTGTGCTTTTACTAACCAACAAAGCAGTAGGTTCATTTGATAGTTCAGTGTTTAACTATACATGCAACTTTACATAATTTTACTTCAACTTCCATCAGGTGCGAGATGATTGCGAAAGGAATCCCCAATAGACAAAACTCGGAGCGAGACATTGATGTCTTTATTAAATGTCATATTTTTCATGTTTCGATGACATTTCGGATAGTCCTTTGTAAGTTTCATTATCGTTCTCAAATATTTTTATTGTTCGTAATTACGCTTAAATAATTTTCTTAAATAAGCGGTGAAGTGGTATCAAGAGCTTCATGGGATCGTCGAGCAAATGCGGTAGATGCTCCGAGTAACGCAGAAGGATATCACCTCGACTGGATGTTCACGGTGTGGTAAATTCTCAAAGGTTTATTGTTATTATCTAACTTAAATCTATAGAGTAAGAGGCACAATTTAGGGAAAGATTTATCTTGAGGCCGTGAATTCTCAATTGCGAACGTGCCGGTTCCAAAATTGAAAACAAATACAAGGTTACTTCTAATAACTTAAAAGGACAAAAGATTTTTACTTTACTATGCATGCTATCCTAGTTATATATGTAGGAGCTATTACTCGTCGATTAATGTAACCGATTTCGACATACCAACAAAATACGAGGAGCTAAAGTCAGTCATCGAGATATCCCGTATAATAATAATGATTTTGATTTAAACTTTGAAAAAAAGAGCTGAAAAGGAAAAACTTGCTCTTGGAAGAATGATAGTGCCTGTTAGACAGAAAGAGTCTCCCCAAAAACTGAAGGTAAGTAACAAGTTAAGGTTCATACTGTAGAAGCATGCATTTAGCATCACTGATACAAAATGTTATTGTATTTTTATTTCTTGTAATAGAAATGGTTATTATCTGTAATTTAATTCTTTTGAATCTCTCAAAGCTCAAATATACTGTAAGTAATGTAACATTTTCAAGTACTTGCAAATTCAATGGAAGCTTTTGACAAATTATTAATCAATATGGAGAAAGATTTATGCTTTTTTATGTACTCATCTTCTTACTGTTAGTATCAGTATAAATTATTGCAAAGTATTCACTATTAATATATTAATTAGCCTTTATATATTTTTTTTAAATAGCACTTATGCTGTGTAATATGCATAGAAAAATAAATTCTTTTTGCGAGATACTTGGCGTTACAATTTGTAATGCGCATGTGATTTTTTTTCTTGCTGATAATTCTAACACATTTAACATTGTGTGGTTGTATTGTGGTTGCATCAGGTTATGTCATGCTATTGACGCGCGGAAATTAAAATATTAGTAAAAAAAGCTTTAAATTAGAAGTTTATGAGAATTCGTTAAATAGGAATGCAAAAACATGGTTCAGAAGAATTATGACATCCCGTAGCTGGCCAGAATGCAATATATTCTTTACATTACCAGACGTTACAGATAATGGAGTCCAAACTGATAATATCATCTGTGATCACGAGGAAGAAAACAATTATGAATGAACTTAAAGTATTATCCCAGCATCTATTTGATTAAGTGGTATAATTGTAGTCTAATCAGACTACAATTATACCACTTAGTATGGACTATAACCCACCCGAGAATGATGTGTGTTTTGCTTTTTTCGACATACTCAAGTGACGTGCATTTTGCTTTTTACGACACCAAGATGGGATAATTATAGTCTACATATCGGGCGCTATATAGGTCGCATTTGTATCGCCACTTGAGAACCGCTGAGATGCGCCAGTATGACGTGCGTTTTACATTTTAAGACACCCTCTAGTGACGTGTCGATTGCAAAACTCAAGTCAAAAAAAAGTAAGATTACATCTTGTGATTTACATCAATCATATCTATGCTAAATTCTTTAACAATATATACCATATATACCACCTAGAATATTTAATAAGTAGAAATTTTAACGCAATCGGGACATGCTATATGTATGCTATCAAGTAAATGATATCTAGACACACTATATACATGCTATCTGGTTATGCTATCAATTAATGCTACCAAATATGTATGCTAAGTATATCACAAAAATGCTATCGAGTATATTATATTAAAGTATGCCGATTTTGATTGCTGAATTGTTATCCCTATTTGGTAACCCACCAAAGCATCCGATGATGAGGCACGTAGTGCCGAGTTGTTAACAATTGTTGGCTTCACATAATTCATTCGAATATCATCCGAGAGTGAGGCACATAGTGCTGAATTGCTAACTATTATAATTCATTCAAATATTACCCGAGAATGAGGCACGTAGTGCTGAATTGTTATCATATCTGTTGATACCCCAAAGCATAATTTTATATATTATATATCTTTCTGTAATAATTATACCTTGGGGTGTCACTTTTTTTTTACTCAAAATAATACTTATTTGGTGACCCATCAAAGCACAATTTTATATATCTTTTATCTGTAATAATTATTCCTTGGTGGCCCACTTTTTTGCTCGAAATATTACTCACACCGAAAAATCTTTGGTGTCTCATCAAAGCATAATTTTATATATTATATGCGCACTCTATTTCGGAACACTGGCATTCCACTCTATTTTATTCGAAATAGTACTCATACCGAAAAATCTTTGGTGATCCATCAATATATAAAAATGAGGTATATCACATTTGACCCATCAAAACGCAATTTCTGTACATAGTATAGTTTTACTTTGGTGGTCCAAAAAATATATTACATTTGACCCATCAAAGAGCAATAGCATAACTTTCCTATAATAATTTTACTTTGGTGACCCAAGAATTTTCAGCATAAGTTGTCTCTACTAGTACTATTCGAAGCATACCACATACGCATTACATTTTACAATACGATTATTTTAACCCAAAACTGTATCTTGATCAAAATTGCGCAACACAAAAATGGTCATCGAATATCTCGTATATTTTGTAATGCGACCATTTACCTTATCCTATATATCGGATTTCCGAGACCGCGCGGTTCCACAAATTTCTGTGACTTACCTTACCCCTATATTGGAAGCACTTACCCAGAACTTTATTTCGATCAAAATCGTGCGACACAAAAACCCCTTTATATGATTCAGGTATCGAAGTATTAATTTTTGATTTGAATTTTTTCTTATACTTATTTGTAAGAGGCGACAAAAATCCCTTTACCTAAAATGTATGGCTAGATAAATATAGTAATATACTCCCAGCCAGAGTATTCTACTTAACTAGATCATATTATTTTGAAAGATTATGCATATTCAATGAGAGCCATAAATCGACTTTTTAATTCTTTTTTATGCGGAGTAGTAGGGACTTTCATTTTAGTCTCAAAATTTCGCTTGTATTCCAGGAAAGCGATCTCGTCCATACTCTCGCGCTCTTTTTTCTT